CTACCTCTTTAAGGAATACCTGGAATAGTATAAAGCAATCCTTCCACCCCCCCATAAAAAAAATAAATAAAAAAAAAAGTGGTTGTCCCACTTGCTATCATAAATTGAATGCACCAATTTGTAAGTCGCTCTGGATAAGAGCGTCTGCTAAATGATGTAAATGTAAATGTAAATGTTGCTTTAATATATCCACATAATTGTCCTTCCTCATGATGCCATCTATTTTGTGAAGTGCACCAGTCCCTCCTGCAGCAAAGCACCCCCACAGCATGATGCTGCCACCCCCGTGCTTCACGGTTGGGATGGTGTTCTTCGGCTTGCAAGCCCCACCCTTTTCCTCCAAACATAACGATGGTCATTATGGCCAAACAGTTCTATTTTTGTTTGTTGCAAACCGTAGTCTGGCGTTTTTATGGCGTTTTTGGAGCAGTGGCTTCTTCCTTGCTGAGCGGCCTTTCAGGTTATGTCGATATAGGACTCGTTTTACTGTGGCTATAGATACTTTTGTACCCGTTTCCTCCAGCATCTTCACAAGGTCCTTTGCTGTTGTTCTGGGATTGATTTGCACTTTTCACACCAAAGTACGTTCATCTCTAGGAGACAGAACGAGTCTCTCCTTCCTGAGCGTTATGACGGCTGCGTGGTCCCATGGTGTTTATACTTGCGTACTATTGTTTGTACAGATGAACTTGGTACCTTCAGGCATTTGGAAATTGCTCCCAAGGATGAACCAGACTTGTGGAGGTCTACAATTTTTCTTCTGAGGTCTTGGCTGATTTCTTTTGATTTTCCCATGATGTCAAGCAAAGAGGCACTGAGTGTGAAGGTAGGCCTTGAAATACATCCACAGGTACACCTCCAATTGACTCAAATGATGTCAATTAGCCTATCAGAGCTTCCAAAGCCATGACATCATTTTCTGGAATTTTCCAAGCTGTTTAAACTTAGTGTATGTAAACTTCTGACCCACTGGAATTGTGATACAGTGAATTTTAAGTTAAATAATCTGTCTGTAAACATTCGTTGGAAAAAGTACTTGTGTCATGCATAAAGTAGATGTCCTAACCGACTTGCCAAAACTATAGTTTGTTAACAAGAAATGTGTGGAGTGGTTGAAAAACAAGTTTTAATGACTCCAACCTAAGTGCATGTAAACTTTCCACTTCAACTGTATATGCAGGTGTGTGTGTGTGTGTGTGTGTGTGTGTGTGTGTGTGTGTGTGTGTGTATATGCAGGTGTGTGTGTGTGTGTATATGCAGGTGTGTGTGTGTGTATATGCAGGTGTGTGTGTGTGTATATATATATACAGTGCTATGAAAAAGTATTTGCCCCCTTTCTAATTTTCTCTACTTTTGCATATTTGTGATACTGAATGTTATCAGATCTTCAACCGAAACCTAATATTAGATAAAGGGAACATAAGTGAACAAATAACACAACAATTACATATTTAGTTCATTTATTTCATAAACAAAGTTATGCAACACCCAATGCCCAAGTGTGAAAAAGTAATTGCCCCCTTATACTCAATAACTGGTTGTGCCACCTTTAGCTGCAATGACTTCAACCAAGTGCTTCCTGTACAACAACTATAGGAAGCATTTGGTTGGAGTCATTGCAGCTAAAGGTGGCACAACCAGTTATTGAGTGTAAGGGGGCAATTACTTTTTCACACTTGGGCATTGGGTGTTGCATAACTTTGTTTATGAAATAAATATGTCATTGTTGTGTTATTTGTTCACTTATGTTCCCTTTATCTAATATTAGGTTTCGGTTGAAGATCTGATAACATTCAGTATCACAAATATGCAAAAGTAGAGAAAATTAGAAAGGGGGCAAATACTTTTTCATAGCACTGTATATATATATATATATATATATATATATATATATATATATATATATATATATATATATATATATATATATATATATATATATATATATATATATATATATACACACACACACACACAGGTGTGTGTGTACCTGCACTTTGCCCAGCAGCTCTTCCTGAGAGCGGAGGCTGGCCTGAACCTTCTGGTTGTAGCTGCCGTATGATTGGTCCAGCTGGCTCATTGACAGCGCCTCCTCATTGATGGCCCCGTCCTGAGCCAGAGCCGTCAGGAAGCTGGAGGACATGTCAAAGGTCACGCCCTTAATCTCCGCCTCCAGCCCATCCCTCTCCCCCTTCACCGCCACTAGCTGGGCCAGCTGGGAACGCAACACACTCACCACCTGGAGGGAGAACACATACGGTTAGAACACACACTCACCACCTGGAGGGAGAATACATACGGTTAGAACACACACTCACCACCTGGAGGGAGAATACATACGGTTAGAACACACACACACACACACACACACACACCACACACACACACACACACATCACCTAGAGGGAGGGGATATACACACACCCACAAGTAAAAGACAGGATACACAATGTTAGCATACGCGCACACACACACTCTCACCTCGCTGCCTTGCAGTGTCTTCGCAGGATTGGCTGATGGTATGGCAGCGGTGAGTTCAGCCTCAGGTTTACAGAGCAGAGCGATCATCTCACAGTGTGCATTATAACGCTCCTTGACCACCTGGTCAGCCTGCACTGCCTTGTCCAGCACACTGCGGAAGTTACCACCCTCTGGACCGGTGGGAGGAGAGGGAGGAGGAGGGGGTTGACAGGTCATTTAACATAACATTAGATTCCAAAGTAGTACACAACACCACACGTATCAGTATTTAACAATATCTTTCTTTTTGGATGTGTGTGTACCTGCTCTGAGTGGTTTATAGAGGTCTCCAGGAGTGTGTGTGTGTACCTGCTCTGAGTGGTGTATAGGTCTCCAGGAGTGTGTGTGTACCTGCTCTGAGTGGTTTATAAAGGTCTCCAGGAGTGTGTGTGTACCTGCTCTGAGTGGTTTATAGAGGTCTCCAGGAGTGTGTGTGTGTGTACCTGCTCTGAGTGGTTTATAGAGGTCTCCAGGAGTGTGTGTGTGTACCTGCTCTGAGTGGTGTATAGAGGTCTCCAGGAGTGTGTGTGTACCTGCTCTGAGTGGTTTATAAAGGTCTCCAGGAGTGTGTGTGTGTGTGTGTGTGTACCTGCTCTGAGTGGTTTATAGAGGTCTCCAGGAGTGTGTGTGTGTGTGTGTGTGTGTGTGTGTGTACCTGCTCTGAGTGGTTTATAGAGGTCTCCAGGAGTGTGTGTGTGTACCTGCTCTGAGTGGTTTATAAAGGTCTCCAGGAGTGTGTGTGTGTGTGTACCTCCTCTGAGTGGTTTATAGAGGTCTCCAGGAGTGTGTGTACCTGCTCTGAGTGGTTTATAAAGGTCTCCAGGAGTGTGTGTGTGTGTGTGTGTACCTGCTCTGAGTGGTTTATAAAGATCTCCAGGAATGTGTGTGTGTACCTGCTCTGAGTGGTTTATAAAGGTCTCCAGGAGTGTGTGTGTGTGTGTGTACCTGCTCTGAGTGGTTTATAAAGGTCTCCAGAGGGAGTTCTGTTCCAGCGTTGGCTGAACTTGGATCTCAGCTCGCTGTCTGTCGACTCCTCATCACCCAGCATCTTCAGAGACTACAGGACAAAAACACACATTATACAATACATATATATCATGGATATTTCAACACACCCATTATACAATACATATATATCATGGGTATTTAAACGCGTGTGCGTACCTCATCCAGGATCTCTCTGTTGCGTGTCAGTAGTTCGGGCAGGTCTCGGATCAGTTGCTCTATGCTCTGCAGCCCCCCCTGCTGGACGATGGCACGGGCCTTCTCCATAATGGATTGTGGGATAGAATCTCCAGACAGGTCCTCCAGAGCCGCAGGCAGGTTCAGAGATGCCAGGACACTGTTGTTCAATTATGAATACATTATCAATATAGACACGTCATGACACCGTTTACACTATCAATACATCAACCTTTATTGATATTGAAATGCAGGGATGGGCAACTTTGATGGGGTTGGGGGGCACAAAAAATCTGAACTCATCATGAGGGACCGCAGTCTGCGTACCCACATCCATACACCCCTGGGGACCCCAGCAGAGAGAAATAGCAGGGCCAAATTTACAACAGAGAGACATTACTTTTAGTTTTTTAGTTTTAAAACAAGTTTGTTGCAATTCTACTCATTTCGCCATAGGCTGGAGAGAAATGTTTGCAGTTTTGAATATGATATCTGAGTGAGACTGACTAACAAGTTTAGATAGCTGGCCAATAAAGTAATTTAGCAATATAAAATGTTTTAACTGACAGGGCTTAATTGACTGACATGACAACAGAAAAACTGCTTATGCACAACCACATTCCGAATTCCGCACCTTGTGTGTTCTACTATTCTAACTGTCAACAGGAAGTTGAGACCCCGACTGAGAAAAAAACATGTCATTGATCCGAGGGCCTTCAAAAGGGGGTCGGCTGGGGCTTCCCGAGTGGCGCAGCATCTCAGTGCTTGAGGCGTCACTACAGACCCGGGTTCGATCCCAGGCTGTGTCACAACCGGTCGTGACTGGGAGTCCCATAGGGCGGCGCACAATTGGCCCAGCGTTGTCCGGGTTAGGGGAGGGTTTGGCCAGGGGGGTCTTTACTTGGCTCATCGTGCTCTAGTGACTCATTGTGGCGGGCACCTTCAGGCTGACTCCGGTTGTCAGTTGAACGCTGTTTTCCGTCGACACATTGGTGCGGCTGGCTTCCGGGTTAAGCGGGCGGGTGTTAAGGAGCGCGGTTTGGCGGGTCATGTTTTCGGAGGACGCATGACTCGACCGTCGCCTCTCCCGAGCCCGTTGAGGAGTTGCAGCGATGAGACAAGATCGTAATCGGATTGCAATTGGATATCACGAAACTGGGGAGAAAAAGGGGGTAAAATAAAAACGACAAAAAAGGGGGCGGCGGCATGCCAGTTGACCATCCCTGTTGTTTGAGTTGACAACAATCAATTTAAATTGTTAATGCATTCTAAAGTAACATCCATACCCGTTGCAGAGGTTGGTAGCTTCCCTCAAGGTTCCCACCAGTCTGTGGATGGTCTCAGCCTTCCTTAGGCTGTACGTGCTCATACTCTGCTGCACCGCCATGGGCACCATATTCTCAAACAAGTCTATACAGAGACACACACACACACACACATTTGCGAATTCTATCAGATATCTACACATAAATAGTGTGTGTGTGTGTGTGTTTGTGACCTGAAAAAAATAAAATAAAAATATGACAGTATGTGTGTGTGACTGTGTGTGTGTGTGTGTGTGTGTGTGTGTGTGTGTGTGTGTGTGTGTGTGTGTGTATGTGTGTGTGACTGTGTGTGTGTATTGTCCCTCTCACCAGTGAACTTGGCGCTAAGCGGAGGCGTGATGGCGGTAGCCTTCACCAGCGCTGCCTTGCCGATGTGTTCCAGATCTTTCACCTCAGGGACGCGGTCGTGGTAGATGAAGTCGTTGTCCTTCTTAGCGGCGGTCAGAGCACGGCTGATCTTATCACTCAAGTCCTTCACACTGACGTACTCATCATAGCGAGACGCTACCGTCTTCACCAGCTCTGTAGCATGCTGAGGGAAAGAGAGAATAGAGGAGTGAGAGAAGACTTTGGTTGAGTGGTTGTGCTTATTTGGTCATAGGAAAATCACTAAATTGTCAGGTGGGGTTACAAACACTGTAGGAACCACTGGGTTGTGTGTGTGTGTGTGTGTGTGTGTGTGTGACTGTGTGTGTGTGTGTGTACCTGCAGGCGAGCAATCTCCTCTCCAAAGCGTTTCTTCTGCTTGGCGAGGAGAGACTGGTGCAGCTCAGCGTAGGCCTGCATGATGCAGTGTTTAGCTGCCAGCACCGGCAACACCTCCTGGAAATAAATATACTGACCAGAGAGCAACCACAGAGCAAACCACACACACACATACACACACACACCACACACACACACACAGAGCAAACCACACACACACACAGAGACACAGAACAAACCACACACACAAGGGGCAAACCACAGAATAGCACAAACACCGGCAACAGCAAATCACGAATGAGTATGCACATCACGAACAGACACACACACACACGGGATGCAGAGAGAGGAGGATAGCGGGAGAAAGAACAGGCAGTGAGTGTTTAACCTTTCTGCAACATTCACCCAACCTTCATCACAGAGAACTGTGTGTGTGTGTGCAAGTGTTTGTGGTGTGTGTGTGTGGGTGGGTGTTATGACATCTGCAAAGTCCAGCCCATGTGTTCCCACCTCAGACCGCGTGTGTGTGTGTGTGTGTGTGTGTATTTTAGTAGTAATACAGGCAGTGAGACAGGTCAGTCAGATTTCATACACACGTCATTTCAGAAGCCCATTATTAGGTAGTGAGAGACCAATCAGAATGGAAGTACGACGGTGAAAGGGCCAATAAGAATACAGCCCAAGTAGTGAACAACAAATGAGAAAACAGCCCAGTTAGTGAATAACAAATCAGAATGGAGACTGTATGGTAATCAACCAATCAGAACAGAGATAGTGAAATGAGTGAAATGGGAAAGTCCCACTTATCCTTACTCATCTAGTAAGTAGTTCTCTCTCTCACACACAAACACACACAAACCCAAAATCGCACACACGGACGGGGGCACGCACGCACACACACACCTTGGGCAGGTTCTCTTTGTACTGGCACTGCTTGAAGGCGTCACCGTAGAAATCTGCTGTCTGATTGGCCAGTTTAGCGATGATGGCATCCTTCATCTTATCTGCATGGCGAACGATACCATGGTTACTCGATTCATGTACACACACACACACACACACGTAAAGCTTGTATGCATGTGTATGGGACGTGTGCACGTACCTGCGGTAGCCTTGAGGAAGAAGACCTCCTGTGCCTGAGCCAGCATGATGAGACTGAGGGTTCCTACAGTCTCAGGAGACATGTCCATAGTAGGCTCTCTGTTCAGAGCCGACAGCACTGTGTCCTTAATGTGACCAAATGCTCCACTCGCCAACTGTGTGAGAGAGACACAGAGACGGAGAGAGACACAGAGACGGAGAGAGACACAGACGGAGAGAGACACAGACACAGAGAGAGACACAGACACAGAGAGAGACACAGACACAGAGAGAGACACAGAGACGGAGAGAGACACAGAGAGGAGAGACAGACACAGAGGAGAGAGACACAGAGACGGAGAGAGACACAGAGACACAGAGAGACACAGACACAGAGACGGAGAGAGACACAGAGACGGAGAGAGAGACACAGACACAGAGATGGAGAGAGACACAGAGACACAGAGAGACACAGAGACAGAGAGAGACACAGAGACACAGAGAGAGACACAGAGACGGAGAGAGACACAGAGACGAGAGAGAGACACAGAGAGATGGAGAGAGACACAGAGACATGGAGAGAGACACAGAGACACAGAGAGACACAGAGACACGGTGAGAGAGACACAGAGACACAGAGAGAGACACAGAGACGGAGAGAGACACAGAGACAGACGAGAGACCAGAGAGACACAGGAGAGGACACAGAGACACGAGAACACAGACAGAGAGGACAGAGAGACACAGAGAGACACAGAGAGACCAACCAGAGAGACACAGAGACACAGAGAGACACAGAGACACAGAGGAGGACCGACAGGGGGACACAGAGACAAGAGAGCACAGAGAGAGTAGATGACACAGAGAACAGAGAGAGACACAGAGACAGAGAGGAACCAGAGAAGAACAAGAAGACACGAGAGCAGAGAGAACACAGAGAGACAGAGACAGAGATGACACAGAGACAGAGACACAGAGCACAGAGGACAGAGAAGAACACAGAACGGACAGGATAGACACAGAGACAGCGAGAGACACAGAGAGAGAGAGAGTGTATTGGTTATATAATTACTAAGTAGTATTACTATGATAAAAACTAGTGATTGGCTATAGTGTCGTTGGTAGTACTGAAGTAATATCTGGTAGTATTTGGCTGTATTGTAGTATAACTATAGAAGTACCTGGTAGTATTTGGCTGTATTGTAGTATAACTATAGAAGTACCTGGTAGTATTTGGCTGTATTGTAGTATAACTATAGAAGTACCTGGTAGTATTGGCTGTATTGTAGTATAACTATAGAAGTACCTGGTAGTATTTGGCTGTATTGTAGTATAACTATAGAAGTACCTGGTAGTATTTGGCTGTATTGTAGTATAACTATAGAAGTACCTGGTAGTATTTGGCTGTATTGTAGTATAACTATAGAAGTACCTGGTAGTATTTGGCTGTATTGTAGTATAACTATAGAAGTACTTGGTAGTATAACTATAGAAGTACCTGGTAGTATTTGGCTGTATTGTAGTATAACTATAGAAGTACCTGGTAGTATTCGGCTGTATTGTAGTATAACTATAGAAGTACCTGGTAGTATTTGGCTGCGGCCTTCAGTCCTTCGTCGCTGTCCAGGTTCTGTTCTGAAGCGATCTGACTGGCCAACGCAGCTCCATTGAACAACACACAGGTCTTCTCATATCCCAGACTGGCCAGGGCTAAAACACACAAATACATACATTACACTACACACACTACACACACACACACAAACACACACACACACACACACACACACCTGGCCTTTCCTGTTCCTCTGTGCTGAGCTCAAGGTGCCAGAAAAGCTTCAGGTATACCTCACAATACTCACACAATAGGGTTACCTTGTGGTTTCCTAGTGTTACTATCAATGTTCCCACTAAAAAAAAAATCAGCACTGAGCAAATTTCAGGTCTGCTGAGCGCAAACTTGAACGTTGGGAAAATTCTGTGCAACTTCCAGCTTATGTTTACTGTAAACACTGAGGCTGTACCCGCTTTAAGTTACAGTTTTAACAGTGGTCAAGTAGGCTACTGTAGCTATCTGATCATAATGTAGGCCTACCAGAGTGGCCTACCATCAAAAACAATGGAGAAAATGCATCCCATAACATGTTAACATGGAAATAACTGTTCTATCATTCAGCGTACAGTAGCAGCCAATGTGTGAGACTTTTGGAGAGAAAAAAAATAATGAAGGGCTTGACATTAACCTGTTAATCCACTTGTCCTTCAGACAAGGAGGTTACTGAAAATGTTGTGTTGTTTGATGCAAGAAACCACTTTACAAAATAAAATGCATTATTATTCCCATACCATTATTACAGAGAATCAGACAAATTATGCTACCCTCTGCCTATTGGCTACTTCGCTTATTCAAGCCTGTCTCAAAATACAACACTGCCCCTTTAAGACAAAAAAGCTCTTTACCTGACTCACTTTTCAAATGTCTAGAAATGTACAAGTGTTGTGCTCTTGTAGGAAGCAGTCACTCCCCTATTGATGACTATGAACGATCTATAACTGGGCTAATAACTCACTAACTAGCACAGGATATGAACAAAATGTGCACACGTGGTTACATGCAGCGCTTGCTTTGATCTCAAAACAAGTGCATCTACTCACGACCACAGCTGTAAACACAGTCCAGTTCAACGTAAATGGCACAGATCCATATATGCAGCTCTGATTGGTTATACCGCACCGGTCCGTGTAGAGTACGGGCTGAGTCGTGCCCAATAGAATCCTACTCCGATGTGTTCTGCCTACAACAAAATATCTTGCATCGTTCGTTTTGTTTTCGGTGTGTTGCATTGAAAGTGGCTAATATTGCGTTGATTCGATCACAATTGCCACAGTAAAGGGAAATGTTGATAGTGTGAACTAACAGGGAAAACTCTGGAAGGTTGAGTGAAGTTCAAGCAAGTGCTTCTCTCCGTGGGCTGATATTTTACAGGGAAGCTGCACAGCAGTCTCGAGCTACTACCCGGGAGCTTAGAGGGAACGTTGGTTACTGTGTGTGTGTGTGTGTGTGTGTGTGTGTGTGTGTGTGTGTGTGTGTGTGTGTGTGTGTGTGTGTGTGTGTGTTAAAGTGAGAGAGCGCGAGAGAGGGGTGAGAGACAGAGCTGGGTTTGGCGTTTGCTACACACACTATATACAGGTAATCAATCAGGTATGTTGAAAAAAGACAAGGAGAGAACACCCATCATGCAATATGACTTCCTCATACATCTGCTAGAACTAACCACGCCCACCGGCCTGAATGTGTGTGTGGCTTACCTAGCTTTACTGAGCCCCCGAACAGTGAGCCCTTATCAAAGGCATCTTTCCACGTGAAGGTTAGACACAGCTGCAGGAACACAGAAAGAGACATTAGCAACATTAGCACCTCTTATTATTGATTAGCGGTGACGTGATTCTCTGCAGTTTTCTACTGTGCCGTTGTTGTGCATCTCCCCTCAGCAACAGTGTGTATTTTGTATTGAGTGGATGGGAGGTTGTATGTACCTGGTTTTCAGAGAAGGGGAACTTGGGCTCCACGGCACACAGCTGGTCATAGTACCTACAAGAGAAGAAGGACCAACACACTTGTATTGTTTGTAACAATCAGAAGAGAGAGAAGTGTGTGTCCTGTGTTATTGACCAATGACAGTGTGTTGGGAAATCTGCGTTGGCTCAGAGACACATGACAGTGAGTCAGAGAGTGGAGCGACTGTCACGCTTCAGATTAACACTGGTGTGGTAATATTCTTCAGTGATCTGCTTCTGTGATCTGGAACATTCTAAGGAATGACATGACAGAGTGAAAGACAGAGAGTAGTCTATTGTTGTGACCGAGGGAGGGGTGGGGAGAGAGGTAGACCTGGCTCTCAAGAGAAGACAGGCTATGTGCACACTGCCCACAAAATGAGGTGGAAACTGAGCTGCACTTCCTAACCTCCTGCCAAATGTATGACCATATTAGAGACACATATTTCCCTCAGATTACACAGACCCACAAAGAATTTGTAAACAAACCCAATTTTGATAAACTCCCATATCTATCGGGTGAAATACCAGTGTGCCATCACAGCTGCAAGATTTGTGACCTGTTGCCACAAGAAAAGGGCAACCAGTGAAGAACAAACACCATTTTAAATACAATCCATATTTATGTTTATTTATTTATTTTCCCATTTGTACTTTAACTATTGCCACATAATATGACATTTGAAATGTCGTTATTATTTTGGAACTTTTGTGAGTGTAATGTGTTTTAGGCACAAACGATGATTACCACGGTTAAATAATAATAATAATAATATGCCATTTTAGCAGACGCTTTTATCCAAAGCGACTTACAGTCATGCGTGCATACATTTTTTTTTGTGTATGGGTGGTCCCGGGGATCGAACCCACTACCTTGGCGTTACAAGCGCCGTGCTCTACCAGTTGAGCTACAGAGGACCAGGTTACACTAAAGTTAGCAACGTTGTGACTACGTGGGCATGCTAAGTGACCAAAGTGCATCCATATATACAGGGTTTGCATTTTCTGGTCAGTTTCCACTGGTTCCATTACACCCCCTGGGGTAGTTAAATAAAGTGCAAGGTGCGCACCCTCAAGTATTTGATGAAAAACAAATTATATTTATATTTCCTGTTTGGAGTTTCGTCCCAGCCAACTCTGCTAGTGACTAGTTTACTGCCTCTGACACAATGGCTGTCTTTCTGTGAAAGGGATACGGAATACAAGGCCCGTTGCCATAGCTACCTGGCACATGGGTCATTAGTTGAGAGCCAAGAAGAGGCTACAATGCTAACAATCCCCTCCTAGGCACCTACCAGCAGTTTAGAGCGCAACCAGAATGCTAACATAGGCTAGCGATAGCATGGCCCTACACCACCCTGTAGCTAGCACGCCTATGCTAACATTGATTATGTTCCTCCAGCAAACACTCCTTAGCCCTTACATCCCAACTCCTACCTCACACAGCAGAAAGAGAAAGAGAGAGAGAGAGAGAGAGAACAGAGAGAGAGAGAGAAGACAGAGAGAGAGAGAGAGAGACAGACAGACAGAGAGAGAGAGAGATGGGAGACAGAGAGAGAGAGAGAGATGGGAGACAGAGAGACAGACAGAGACAGACATGGACAGAGAGAGAGAGACAGAGAGAGAGACAGAGAGAGTACAGAGAGAGAGAGAGACAAAAGAGAGAGAGACAGGAGAGAGAAGACAGGAGAGACAGAAGAGAGAGGCCAGAGGAGAGAGGAGAAGCGAGAGACAGAGAGGGAGAGAGACAGAGAGAGAGACCAGAGAGGAGCACACGAGAGGGAGACAGAGAGAGAGACAGGAGGACCAGACTGAGAGAGACAGTAGACAGAGACGAGAGGACAGAGAGACAGGGAGAGAGACAGAGAGAGAGACATGGAGAGAGAGCCAGACAAGAGACAAGACAGAGAGGAGAGACAGAGAGAGAACAGAGAGAGAGAACAGAGAGGAGACGAGAGAGAGACAGAGAGAGAGACAGAGAGACAGGACCGACAGACAGACAGACAGACGACAGACAGACAGACAGACAGACAGACAGACAGACAGACAGACAGACGACAGACAGACAGACAGACAGACAGACAGACAGACAGACAGACAGACAGACAGACAGACAGACAGATAGAGAGAGAGAGAGAGAGAGAGACAGAGACAGAGAGACAGAGAGAGAGAGAGAGAGAGAGAGAGAGAGAGAGAGAGAACGGACGGACGAAAGAGAGGCGCTGATTGACACTAAAAGAAAAGAGGACACAAAATATGGGGTATCGAAACCCTCCTCCGGTAACAGTGGTTGGGTTTCTTGTCTTTAAACATGAAAGCTATAGTCTAGCGTTGGCAGTGGGACTGGCTGCTAGACAATATCAGCTTAACCTAAGAACTGCAGCTATGACAGAGGTACAACAGAGTAGAGAAAGCTGAGCTGAGGCTCCATTGTACCTATTGTTGTAGAATGCTCTGTGGACAATACCAGGGTAAACTACTAGTCATTTGACTCCATACAGGGGAGCAAAGTATAAAGTTCAACTTGTCAACTAATCAAAGTCCTCAATGAGTTGAATGAGGTGCGTTTGTCAAGGGTACAACCCCTACCTAGATGTACACTACCGTTCAAAAGTTTGAGGTCACTTACAAATGTCCTTGTTTTCTAAAGAAAAGCAATTTTTTTGTCCATTAAAATAACATCAAATTGATCAGAAATACAGTGTAGACATTGTTAATGTTGTAAATGGCTATTGTAGCTGGAAACGGCTGATTTTTTTATGGAATATCTACATAGGCATACAGAGGCCCATTACCAGCAACCATCAGTCCTGTGTTCCAATGGTACGTTGTGTTTGCTAATCCAAGTTGATCATTTTAAAAGGCTAATTGATCATTAGAAAACCCTGCTCATGTCACTCGTACTTTATAGAATAGATCACTGGGTAGAGAACCAGAGAGGATAGAAAGACAGAAAAGTCCATAGGTCACAGGGGACTGGAGAATAGAGTCTGTAATGTCACAGGGGACTGGAGAATAGAGTCTGTAACGTCACAGGGGACTGGAGAATAGAGTCTGTAATGTCACAGGGGACTGGAGAATAGAGTCTGTAACGTCACAGGGGACTGGAGAATAGAGTCTGTAATGTCACAGGGGACTGGAGAATAGAGTCTGTAACGTCACAGGGGACTGGGGAGAATAGAGTCTGTAACGTCACAGGGGACTGGAGAATAGAGTCTGTAACGTCACAGGGGACTGGAGAATAGAGTCTGTAATGTCACAGGGGACTGGAGAATAGAGTCTGTAACGTCACAGGGGACTGGGGAGAATAGAGTCTGTAATGTCACAGGGGACTGGATAATAGAGTCTGTAACGTCACTGGGGACTGGAGAATAGAGTCTGTAATGTCACAGGGGACTGGAGAATAGAGTCTGTAATGTCACAGGGGACTGGAGAATAGAGTCTGTAACGTCACAGGGGACTGGAGAATAGAGTCTGTAATGTCACAGGGGACTGGAGAATAGAGTCTAACGTCACAGGGGACTGGAGAATAGAGTCTAACGTCACAGGGGACTGGAGAATAGAGTCTAACGTCACAGGGGACTGGAGAATAGAGTCTAAAGTCACAGGGGACTGGAGAATAGAGTCTGTAACGTCACAGGGGACTGGAGAATAGAGTCTGTAAAGTCACAGGGGACTGGAGAATAGAGTCTGTAACGTCACTGGGGACTGGAGAATAGAGTCTGTAATGTCACAGGGGACTGGAGAATAGAGTCTGTAACTGTCACAGGGGACTGGAAATAGAGTCTGTAACGTCACAGGGGACTGGAGAATAGAGTCTAACGTCACAGGGGACTGGAGAATAGAGTCTGTAACGTCACAGGGGACTGGAGAATAGAGTCTAACGTCACAGGGGACTGGAGAATAGAGTCTAACGTCACGGGGACTGGAGAATAGAGTCTAAGTCACAGGGGACTGGAAATAGAGTCTAACGTCACAGGGGACTGGAGAATAGAGTCTAACGTCACAGGGGACTGGAGAATAGAGTCTGTAACGTCACAGGGGACTGGAGAATAGAGTCCGTAACGTCACAGGGGACTGGAGAATAGCGTCTGTAACGTCACAGGGGACTGGAGAATAGCGTCTGTAACGTCACAGGGGACTGGAGAATAGAGTCTAACGTCACAGGGGACTGGAGAATAGAGTCTGTAACGTCACAGGGGACTGGAGAATAGAGTCTGTAACGTCACAGGGGACTGGAGAATAGAGTCTAACGTCACAGGGGACTGGAGAATAGAGTCTGTAACGTCACAGGGGACTGGAGAATAGCGTCTGTAACGTCACAGGGGACTGGAGAATAGAGTCTAACGTCACAGGGGACTGGAGAATAGAGTCTAACGTCACAGGGGACTGGAGAATAGAGTCTAACGTCACAGGGGACTGGAGAATAGAGTCTGTAACGTCACAGGGGACTGGAGAATAGAGTCTAACGTCACAGGGGACTGGAGAATAGAGTCTAACGTCACAGGGGACTGGAGAATAGAGTATGTAACGTCACAGGGGACTGGAGAATAGAGTCTGTAACGTCACAGGGGACTGGAGAATAGCGTCTGTAACGTCACAGGGGACTGGAGAATAGAGTCTAACGTCACAGGGGACTGGAGAATATAGTCAAAGACACTCATATATCCTCTTTGGTAGAGTAGAGGTGGTTTGTTAACCAAATAACTGTCCTGTTTCCTCCATAGAGCGCTATGCAAAACATCCCTAAGACCTCACAGTGTGGGTTGGGGGTATTCTTTTTAGATGAGATGGCTCTGCTTTAACTGAATAATACCGGAGGCAGGCAGAATATATTATATCTACATATACCTCCACACACAGAGACAGACAGAGACAGACAGAGAGACACAGAGAGACACAGAGAGAGAGAGAGAGAGAGAGAGAGAGAGAGAGAGAGAGAGAGAGAGAGAGAGAGAGAGAGAGAGAGAGAGAGACAGAGCGACAGAGAGACAGAGAGACAGAGAGACAGAGACCAGGGCTGCCCAACCCTCTTCCTGGAGATCTACTGTCCTGTAGGTTTTCAGTCCAACCCTAATTTAGCGTATCTGATTCAGCTAGTTAAGGTCTTGTTGAGCAGCTAATAAGTAGAATCAGGTGTGTTAAATTAGGGTTGGACTGAAAACCCACAGGATGATAGATCTCCAGAAACAGGGTTGGGCAACCCTGCTGTAGATCAATACAGCCTAGCCAATTTCTATTCTGAACGGTATGTAGTACTGCATCCCCCCACCTAATCTTGTTTCAGATTAGTATCTTTCAAGAAGCTATAGTGGGGGACCTTCCAAGAGGTCTGAGTCTTTATGGCATAGCAGGTAGTAGTCCCCCCCCCCCCACCACCCACCCATAACTCTCCTGAAACTAACGTTACTTAATGTTGTAATAACATAACAATACACACTATAGCTAGAATTGGAAACATTAAGATTTTGATATTGGTCTTCATTGGTCTGATGACGTTAGTGAATTTGACAATGACACATTGAAATGTGATATTGCGGCTGGTCAAACTGAATCACGAGGATGCCAGCATAGCCATGACCTAATTGCAACGGTTTATCCTAACGACATTTACTTGATTTGGCTAACAGGAAAGTTAGCTAAGCAACCTTGCTAGCTACTAAGCTAATTGACAGCAGGTTCATTTCACACAGGGAACTCGTTATTGAGGAATTAGGCATCAAATGGACATTCATGATTGATTGATTGTCGATGCGTTAGCTTGTCATGAATTGTTAAACACAAGACTCAAAAGGAAAAACCGCATCCGAGAATTTCATGGTGCGGCAATGCAATGGAGTTAGCTAGCTAGCAGCCAGACTAGCCATTTCTGTACAGGTGAAGTAGCTAGCTAACGTTAGCTGGCTAGCTGGAGGTAGCATACTAGCGAACCTAAACTAAGTTAGCTACGTCAGTCTGGCAGTATTTCTAACCTCAGGAGGATTTCCAGAGAGCTTTCGTGTTTGTCGAGCGGCCTCCCCAGAGCACTCTTGCGCAGCTTGTTCAACTCCTCCACGGATCGTATGTACTCTGCTTGCTCCTCGCCCGCTGGGTATGTCGCCGTGACGAATTTCGAGAGTGGTTTAACTAGATCTACTTCAGACGACTTCTTTAACGGGACAGAAATAAAAGTCGCCATTTTCGGCCCACGAAAAGTAACAAAAAATATGTGGTAACTAGCTAACTTTCAATCGGACAATAACAACAAGCGACTCCTCACTTCCTGGAGTCTGCTGCGAAACAGATGACGTCGATGCACAGAGAGAACTGCGCATACGCATTAAGGACTAGACGGGGAGAACGGTTTCTTTCTTATTTGGTATTTTGGTATTTTATTAGGATCCCCATTAACTGTTGCAAAAGCAGCAGCTACTCTTCCTGGGTTCCACACAAAACATGAAATAATACAGAACATTAATAGACAAGAACAGCTCAAGGACAGAACTAAATAAAAAAAATGTAAGGCACACGTAGCCTACATATCAGTACATACAGTTGAAGTCGTAAGTTTACATCTTAACCTAATACATTTAAACTCAGTTTTTCACTATTCCTGACATTTAATCCTAGTAAAAATTCCCTGTTTTAGGTCAGTTAGGATCCCCACTTTATTTTAAGAATGTGAAATGTCAGAATAATAGTAGAGAGAATGATTTATTTCAGCTTTTATTTCTTTCATCACATTCCCAGTGGGTCAGAAGTTTACATACACTCAATTAGTATTTGGTAGCATTGCCTTTAAATTGCTTAACTTAGGTCAAACGTTTCAGGTAGCCTTCCCACAATAAGTTGGGTGAATTTTGGCCCATCCCTCCTGACAGAGCTGGTGTAACTGAGTAAGGTTTGTAGGCCTCCTTGCTCGCACACACTTTTTCAGTTCTGCCCACAAATGTTCTATAGGATTGAGATCAGGGCTTTGTGATGGCCACTCCAATACCTTGACTTTGTTGTCCTTAAGCCATTTTGCCACAACTTTGGAAGTATGCTTGGGGTCATTGTCTATTTGGAAGACCCATTTGCGACCAAGCTTTAACTTCCTGACTGATGTCTTGAGATGTTGCTTCAATATATCCACATAATTTTCCTTCCTCATGATGCCATCTATTTTGTGAAGTGTACCAGTCCCTCCCGCAGCAAAGCACCCCCGTGCTTCACGGTTGGGATGGTGTTCTTCGGCTTGCAAGGACCACCTTTTCCTCCAAACATAACGATGGTCATTTTGGCCAAACAGTTCTATTTTTGTTTCATCAGACCAGAGGACATTTCTCTAAAAAGTACGATCTTTGTCCCCATGTGCAGTTGCAAACCGTAGTTTGGCGGTTTTATGGCGGTTTTGGAGCAGTGGCTTCTTCCTTGCTGAGCTGCCTTTCAGGTTATGTCGATATAGGACTCGTTGTACTGTGGATATAGATACTTTGTACCTGTTTCCTCCAGCATCTTCAAAAGGTCCTTTGCTGTTGTTCTGGGATTGATTTGCACTTTTCGCACAAAAGTATGTTCATCTCTAGGAGACAGAACGCGTCTTCTTCCTGAGCGGTATGATGGCTGTGTGTGTCCCATGGTGTTTATACTTGTGTACTATTGTTTGTACAGATGAACATGGTACCTTCAGGCATTTGGAAATTGCTCCCAAGGATGAACCAGACTTGTGGAGGTCTACACATTTATTTCTGAGGTCTTGGCTGATTTCTTTTCATTTTCCCATGATGTCAAGCAAAGAGGCACTGAGTGTTAAGGTAGACCTTGAAAAACATCCACAGGTACACCTCCAATTGACTCAAATGATGTCAATTAGCCCATCAGAAGCTTCTAAAGCCATGACATCATTTTCTGGAATTTTCCAAGCTGTTTAAAGGCACAGTCAACTTAGTGTATGTAAACTTCTGACCCACTGGAATTTTGATACAGTGAATTATAAGTGAAATAATCTGTCTGTAAACAACTGTTGGAAAAAGTACTTGTGTCATGCACAAAGTAGATGTCCTAACCGACTTAAACTATAGTTTGTTAACAATACATTTGTGGAGTGGTTGAAAAACTAGTTTTAATGACTCCAACCTAAGTGTATGTAAACTTCCGACTTCAACTGTACACACAAACTATCTAGGTCAAATAGGGGAGAGGCGTTGTGCCATGAGGTGTTGCTTTATCTGTTTTTTGAAACTAGGTTTGCTATTTATTTGAGCAATATGAGATAGAACGGAGTTCCATGCAATGATGGCTCTATATAATACTGTACGCTTTCTTGAATTTGTTCTGGATTTGGGGACTGTGAAAAGACCCCTGGTGGCATGTCTGGTGGGGTAAGTGTGTGTGTCAGAGCTGTGTGTAAGTTGACTATGCAAACAATTTGGGTGGGGGTGGGGGGGGGGGTTTGTGTGGGGGGTAAGGTGTGGAGGGTGTGGTTCCCGACGTGCTCGATTAGTGGGTACATATCTGAAGGTTCTAAAGTGTGTGTGGAGGCAGACTGTCATAAACATTACCTTCCCCTCCTTTCACCAGGACACACACATCTCAACCTCCACGTATGTGAGTGTCTGTCAGGGTTGGCGTCAATTCAGGAAGTACATTGAAATTCCAATTCTCTTCAATGAGGAATACTTCGACTTGCAATTTGGTTTACTTTCTGAATTAAAATGGAATTGACCCCAACCCTGGAGTGTGTTTTAGTCTGCCCTACTCATAAGTGTTTTGTGAGAAGTGTGTTCACTGTTCTTTGAAGTTGTGTTTCTCAGTAGTTTGATTGTCCACGTGATGAAATCGGGGGAAGCGACGATTCTGTCGCCGTCCGTTCGTACGTTAGTCACACGCGATATCTCAGACAGCACTGGGCCGATTTTAAGAAACTTAGGTGAGTGATGCGTCTCGCCATAGAGATCCGGCATTTATACAATTACAGTGATTGGCCCAAGGCGGGAGCTACAGAAATTCACTGAAATTTGTGAGTCACACGCAATATCTCAACTGTCCCAAGGGGAGCAGCTTCTTCTTCTTCAGTGGGGTATATCGGCGGTTGGCATCCAACATTATGGTGCATTACCGCCACCTACCGTACTGGAATATGGGCCAGAGACAGGGAGAAAGTAAATCCTACCTGCCAACCCTGTTTCTCTTAAAAAAGATAACAAAATATTTGAGACTATATCTAATGACCTTCTGCTCAATATACTCTTTAAACTAATTGTCTGTATCCCCTTCTCCCTCATACTAGATCTCATCCTCTCTCTTTCCCTCTGATATTGCCCACACTGTAGCAATCCATGCTCCACAGTCTCTATTTCCTGACAATAATCACACTTTCCTCATGGATGCTTTCCTATCACGTTTAACGTCTTATTCAACTGGCTGTGTCCCACCCTTAATCTTGTAAAAATAGCCTCCTCTCTTCTGTCCCTTCCTGCCGTCCCCCCCTCCCAGACTTTCCTCTGTACCTGAAATAAATGCCTTCCCTTATTATCTCTATTCCACTGCTCCTGCCATCTCTGCACCATCACTGTATATATCAGTCTTTTTGCCTCTGCCTTGCTCATTGACACGTCAACATCAACACCCCCACTACTAAGTGCTTGTTTAGCCTGTTCGTGTAGGGGACTACATGTTTACTGTTGCCTTGTTTAATCTCGTTCCCAGACACTTCCGCTAAAATGTGCGAAGAGTCTGGTGGGTCAATGCGTCAAACTTGGCCTTCGTTAGCCAATACAGAGTGCGGGGAGTATCTCCCGACGCATAGGCATTAGCTTAATCTATCAACCAATGATCTCCGACACCTCCCCCTGACCCTCCCCTGTACACTAGCACAATACATGCACAGAGGCACGCATCGCAGACATGTGATTCGCTAAAATTTAAATGACAAATACTGTACTTTAGAATTCCATGGTCACTCTCAATAAGGCCACCTTTGGGTGGTTGATATCCCAGGCTTATATGAGCTGTGCGCAATAGCCTGGAGACCAGGCTGTTTGATTTGACTGTGTGCTGACCATCTGTGGTCAGAGGGAGCTTGGGAGCAGACAGAAGACAGTGGAAGTGGAGGTGTTTGGGGTGAAGAAAACGGTGAGGACATCCCAGACACTTTACAGTGTTGGCACTTCTACTTCCTGTCTGACGGGTAAGAGGACATCACTGCTACTTCCTGTCTGATGGGTAAGAGGACATCACTGCTACTTCCTGTCTGACGGGTAAGAGGACATCACTGCTACTTCCTGTCTGACGGGTAAGAGGACATCACTGCTACTTCCTGTCTGACGGGTAAGAGACATCATGCTTTCCTGTTGATGGGTAAGAGGACAACATCACTTGCTACTTCCTGTCTGATTGTACGAGGACATCACTGGCTACTTCCAGCTCTCCTGTCTGATGGGTAAGAGGACCTCACTGCTACTTCTTTCTGACGGGTAAGAGGACATCCTTTTACATCAACAATTATATGGCTTTTTTCTTTACATCGGCTTTGTCCAAGTGCTTTTCACTAAACCCGGCCTACAGCAGAGAAACCCGTGACATACAGGGCACTACTGCTCCTGCAATCTTTCTCCCTGTGTGATGTCATATCCTGTTCTTGTTTAGGCACCTGGCCAGCCCCAAATACACACAGGTACAGACACACACTATTAGGAATGTTCCCCCTATTTACATGTGGTGTTGTGTGTTGTGTGTCAGAGGTGAGAGGATAAGCCAGTGTTTGAGAAGAGGTGTCTGGTGTGGGAGGTGACATGCAACACTTAAAGGTGACATATTAGTCTTTCCCCACACCCTACCATTACACCCTGCTCTCACTTTCGACCCTTAATCTTAAACCACTAACCTGATGTGTTACAGGAGGAGTTGAAGGCGAGCGTGCCTCGTACCTGCGGCAGCACTATGCGCCATGATGGACTTCTTGCAGTTACTACAGAATGTTCACCCGCGAGGACTTCTCCCCCTTCTCCTCCCCCCGGGGAGCACCTTCATCACCTCACCTTGAGGACACACACTGTGACTGTCTCAATAGTCTAGTAGTTTCCTCTCACAGGAACTTCAGTGAGGACAATACTATCCTGGTTAGCACTTGATCATCAAATATGTATGTTTGTATTTTGTGATTCTGTTTTTACTCTTTTTGTTTGTATGAGCTGCACTGAAACAAATTCCAATCAGCTATGTTGCTATGGCAATCGCAAGAGTTAGTTGTCAGCTGGTGTAAATATGTAATGTCTTGCATGTTTTCCATGCTTTATTTATCTTAAGGACTTTATGCTTGAGTGTGATAAT